ACAAATTTGCCAAAAGCTCCTAAACTGCCCAAACTCCTGGGACTTTTCACAGGGGTTAAGAAAAGGTTTACCCTGGGGCGAGCCCTGTGGTGCCAAGGACAAAGTTCAGCCCCCAGCATGGAAACTGGGAACAGCTTTCCCAAAAAAAACATTGTCTGCAGGGCGTTTGTCCCCAAAATGATGTAAAAGGGCCTGGATTCTCCTGGCTGGACCCAGCAGGGTGGAATTGCAGCAGAGCTGAGACCTCAGGCCAAAGGCTGTGTCCTAAGGGAGCAGGGGAGTGGCAGAGCTGCAGGATCAGCTGCTTCCCCATCCCAGGCCAAAGCGATGCTGGAGCTGTCCCAGCTACCCTGGAACCCCAAAAACCCCTGGGATAACCATGGGCTGGGAGAGGCAGGAAGGCAGCAGCCAGCCCTGGCTGTGTGCCCCAGCCCAGCAGGGCTGGAACAGCCCCAGGAACACTCCCAGCTCTGGGAGCTCCTCATTCCCAGCCCTCATTTCCTAGGGATGCTCTCCAGCAGCTCCTTTTCCCAAAGAGATGGAGCTGCAGGCTGGGCCAGCCTGGAATCCTTCCTGCCTTCCCTTCCTGGGCAGGGGGAAACAGGCACAACAAACCACCCTGACCCACAGCCTTCCTCCACCCCACCCCTCTGCCCAGCAAAACCATTGGGATTGTTAAATTATCAGTGTTACATAAAACCAGCACAACTGCTGGCAGCAGATCCAGGGAAGCACAAACCCACCGACAGCAAACACTTCCTTTCATTCTTTTCCTGTCCATCCTGTTTGGCCAGTTCTGTTGCCAACTTTGGAGGAAATTTATGGCCTCTTGGTGTTTGATAAACTGCTGTGGTGTAAAAATATCCGTGGGTATTGTGTCTGGGGTGCTGTGTCTGCGTGGTGAAAGCAGCACGAGCTGCTGCCCTTTGATCAGGGATAGGAAACCACTGCATCCCAAATAAATTAATGGGAAAGCAATCAGAGCTAGCATTCCCTAATAACTGTGAGGTTATACCCAGGAGAAGCAGCTGGTTTAAACTGAACAGTAGTTTTTAAAAAGCAAACAGAAAAATAAATCACAATGTTCTGCTCACCTGACTCCTCTTCAGAGCTCCTGCCCTTTGATCATTGACAGAAAATCATTGGCTCCCAAAAAAATTAATGGGAAAGCAATCAGAGCTAGCATTCCCTAATAACTGTGAGGTTCTACCCAGGAGAAGCAGCTGGTTTAAACTGAAGAGTAGTTTTTGAAAAGCAAACAGAAAAATAAATCATAATGTTCTGCTCACCTGACTCCTCTTCAGAGCTCCTGCCCTTTGATCATTGACAGAAAATCATTGGCTCCCAAAAAATTTAATGGGAAAGCAATCAGAGCTAACATTCCCTAATAACTGCGAGGTTCTACCCAGGAGAAGCAGCTGGTTTAAACTGAACAGTAGTTTTTAAAAAGCAAACAGAAAAATAAATCATAATGTTCTGCTCACCTGACTCCTCTTCGGAGCTCCTGCCCTTTGATCATTGACAGAAAATCATTGGCTCCCAAAAAATTTAATGGGAAAGCAATCAGAGTTAGCATTCCCTAATAACTGCGAGGTTATACCCAGGAGAAGCAGCTGGTTTAAACTGAACATCAGTCATAAAAAAGGGATTACAGGTAAATAAATCACAGTGTCCTGCTCACCTGACTCCTCTTCTGAGCTGCTGCTGGAGCTGTCTTCAGAACTGGCTTCTCCTTAAAAACAGGCACAGGTGGAATGTGAGTCCAGGATCCACCCAGAGGTTTGGATCCATCAGGCCAGGCAGCAGGTTAGAGAATGGAACAGAAAAGAAAGAGCTACAGAGGCAGGAAAAACATCAAATCCCAAATCCCACACCAGGGGAGATTTGGAGTCACCCAGGCCCTTCTGAAGGCAGCTCAGAATATTGAATCCTCATGTTTTACACAACCTGGGATAATTCTGGAGCTCCAGCCATGGCACATCCCAGTTACATTGTGGTTTCCCAAGGCAGGTGGGAGCAGCCTTGGTGGGAGCTGCGTGTCCCACCAGTTGTGACTCGTGTGCAGGCACCAACCAATTAATTATTGCTATAAATGTCATTTGGGGAGAAAGCAGCACTGGGAAGGCAGGGATGTGTTTGGGGATGTGGCTGGGGGGAAATGTGGGATGCAGGAGTGAGGAAATCCCAAACCCCTGAGCCAGGGTGGGCTCACCCTCGGGCTGCTCCTCGGCCGATCCCGACGATCCCTCCATGCCATTGGGAGTCACCTCTGCAAGGGAAAGGCAGGGAGGGAGAGTTGGAGAGGAATTTAACTCTTCTCTTGTCAATTCTGCACTCACAGAAAGGGAATAAATAACAAAAGAACAGGCATTTTAAAACCCAGCATAAAAAACCA